AGATATGTACAAAAAACTTAGTAGGGGGCGGGGCCACGCCCACTTTTCCAAAAAATTACGGGCAAATATGCCCGTCCCTATTGCGATCCTTTTTGCCAAATTTCACTTTAATATCTTTATTTATGGCTTAGTTATGACACTTTTTAGGTTTTCGGTTTTCGCCATTTTGTGGGCGCGGCAGTGGGCCGATGTTGCCCATCTTCGAACTTAACCTTCTTATAGAGCCAAGAAATRCGAGTACCAAGTTTCATCATGATATCTCAATTTTTACTCAAGTTACAGCTTGCACAGACGGACGGACAGACAGACATCCGGATTTCAAACTCTACTCGTCACCCTGGGTCTATTGTACCCTCTCCTATATCACATGATCTCCCAGAGCCCCAGCAGCCTGAATAGTTCCAGGAGTTTGCCGGGCGCTAGTGAGGTGATGTGATCCCTGCTGATGTGCTGGTGTTTCGTGTTCCAGGTCGCAGAACCGGCAGTTAGCACAGGAGACCATGCCCATGTTGGACAGGTGTTTCCTGAGCTTACAGTGCCCTGTGTAGATTGCGACGAGGAGACGAAATTTTTCTCGGGGGAGGTGGAGTAGTTCTTTAAACCTGGAGAGATAGTATCCTCCCAGGAGCAGCTTGGCGTGGCGCATACTTGATGCCTGCCGCCAGTGCCGTTCTCTCTCCTCCGTGCGGAGCAGCTTCTTAAGAGTGTGGGGTCCTACCGCTATGTATGGCTCTGGTCCCAAAATCTTTGATGCTGCCGCAGTGCGGGCCAGTTCGTCGGCCTTCTCATGCACGTAGATCAATACAATGCGTTGATCAGCGCCCCAAAGCACAAGTGCATGCACCTACACTCATACTCTGGAGAACCAAAGCATGAGTGCCGCCACATACACTCATACTCAGGTTCCAATTGGTTAGGGTGTGTGTTGTAATGTCCACCCTAGGGTGTGTGTTAAACGTCCACCCTTAGCCACCTTGGTCAGGTACGAGGCCCATCTAAAACCTCTGCCGTACTTTGGGTCCGGCACGCGGCCGCAGTGCGACTCCACATTGGACTAATGCCCTTCCTGCATTTAGGTATAAACCACAGCCCCCACGAATCTCCCCAAAGGGCTAAACCCAATGAGCAGATTGGAGTTACCTCCAAGGGCTTACTGCTCCCCGTGGTACCAGGTTATAGTCTTTGGTCTGACTTTGCAACTATTTGCTACTTCCAGTTGAGTTCCCGTATATACTCAATGACTGGTTGCATTTGTAGCTGTGACAAATGCCTTATATTTTGAGATATAAATATAAAGCTTAGAATTTGACTTCCAGCTGAATATTATAGCACTTATATGACTTAGACCATGTTGACATCAAAACATGGTCTCTAAAGCCTGACATAGTGCATATGGCTTATAGTCGCCTCTTATGACAGGCATGCCTTGCCGCGGGTATATTCGGTTTCCCCCCGCCCTGGAGGGGTCCACCCGCAGGGAGATAAGGACAAGGACATGCGGTTTAGCATTTCTATACATTCCTCAACTAAAAGCGATTTGGTCTCGTATGACAAGATCGCTTTTAGAGCCGCTTGACTATCGCTAAGAATGCTATGCTCTGGTTGCGATAGTTGCGGCTGAGGTTGACTTCAGCGCACTGATAGATGGCAAAAACTTCTGCCTGGAAGATACTTGGGAAGCAGCTCATAGGTATGGACACCTCGGTACGTGGTTCCACAATACCTGCCCCAATACCTTCTGGGGTTTTAGAGCCATCAGTGTACCATTGAATGGTACTGTCTTCCAGAAGCCTTACCAGCGTGGAGTCATTCCACTCCGTTTTGATGCTTAGAGTATCTTTAAAGTTCTTCTTGAGGTTAATTTTCTTCGTGGGGCTGTCCTTTGGGAGGAGGGCTAGCGGTGTGCTTTCCGCTAGTGAGTCCATCTGTCAAGAGAACATTACCTTCCCTCTTCCACAGCCTTCTGCTGACATTAGCGTGGTGTGTTTGCTGCTAGCTTGATCACCAGATGCAGCGGTGGAGCTCTAGTATGACTTCCAGTGCCACCGTGGGGCATGTGCGCATTGCCCCCGAAGCACAGACACAAGCAAGTCTTTGCAGCTTTGACAGCTTCCGAATCACTGAAGACTGCGATGCTTTGGTGGCCCAGGCAACTGCTCCATAGGTGACGATATGGTATATGTCATGGTATACAGCCATATGATGATACTTGGCTTGCATCCCCATGATCTGCCGGCCAGGCGTATGCAAATCATCAGTGCTCTTGTTGCTTTGGACAGCGTTAAGTTCAAATGACTCTAATGATGAGTCTAAGGTGAGGCCAAGGAATTTGACCTCCTTAGACATTTCCACCTCTGTGCCTTTAATTGTTAGGGACCTCAGGCCCGGAAGAGATCTCCGCTTAGTGAATGGGATCACGGTGGTTTTTGCTGGGATATTTGGAATATTAAGTCGTCCAAAACTGGATTGTTTTGGGTATTTGTTGTGATGAATAAAAATACGGCATTTACGGCATAAGGACGTGTCAAAAATAGTATTCTGAAGGGATAGATGCAATAGTTTAGAAGTTATAAAGGGCAAACGGTTTAAAGTTTTGAACACTAAAAATCTAACGAGAAACGTTTATAAGACAAGTATAAAAACACTCGGAACGTCAAACTTGCTCCAACCGAATTAAAAATGTGACACTATATTCTTGACATATTAAGAATTCAATTAGGGGTTTCATATATGTAGTCTCATAAAGTTATAAGTTATACCGAAGCGAAAACATAACTTTGACAATTGTAATCCAACAACAATTTTTTTAAACAAGTGTAAAAATTTATGATTTTACGATGCGTTATGACGAGTTAAATATAATAAAAAAGTGCAAAATAAAAAAAATAATAACTTACCCCTTAAATTATTTCAAATTTGTTGGCCATATTTTTTATTATTTTCAACTATTAAATGTTTGTATACATATATATTTTTAAACTGAATAAATTTATGTAATATTGTATTTACAATTTTAGAAGACCTTATGAAGAAATGAATGTTTAAATTTTTACAGGGATTCGTTGCTGCTAGCATTAAACGCGAACATGGTGACGAGGTTGAAGTGGAGCTCGCCGAAACTGGAAAACGTATTATGGTTTTGCGTGATGATATACAAAAGATGAATCCGCCGAAGTTTGACAAAGTCGAAGATATGGCGGAACTGACATGTTTGAACGAAGCTTCTGTTTTACACAACATCAAAGACAGATATTATTCTGGTTTAATTTATGTAAGTATGGTTGCGTATGATTGGTTAATTAAATAAGAATTCGCGGAAGTAATATCGTATTTTCTTGCTTCTTGCGGATTCTGGGAAGTCTCGCTGTGTTTGGCAACTATCTTCATCAAGTAATGCTTCCAGTTCCTCGTCTTTAAATGATGTTATTCGTCTTTCTACCCAAAATCAACACTTTTATATCCTAAAAAATTACGGTGATTTTCGGCTAGGTGTATCTTCGTATCAAAGTAATGAAAAAGAACTCAACGCAAAAACACCCTTCCAGCCACAAAGTTCGACATATTCAAGTGAAAAAATTATTGTTGTTTCCGCTTCAATTAAAGGACATATTTATGTATATATGTACACTTGTGCTCATATAATTAAGTCAATCAGTACTTTTTTACAACATGTAATAAACCCTAATATTGCGCGAGCAAAAAGTTCCGTTATTCTAGGAACGCCACTGATTTACAGCGCATTCAAGTATTTTCGTTTGGGAGAGTTTAAATGAATTTTCCATTTATTATCAATWAAWGTGTGCTCACATAATTAAGTCATTCTGTTTGAAACGGGTAAATTGAAATTTTTTCGCCATAATTTACATCAATATTGTTCTTTTTTACTAAATTAAGTTATTTTTAACAAAATTTGTATTC